TAGTGCAGTGGACACACTCGCCAACGAGGGCTTAAATCTAGCTATGAGGCAAAGCGGTACGTCCAGTCACTACTAGAGTGTTCGGGGCCCTCTGTCCGTGGTATCACAGAGGAACGTAAGAATCGCGGGTTGAGTCGCGGTCAGTGCGTGAAGGGGACTCAGGATTGAGTAACTAAAAGGAGAGGGTGTGGTGGTCGCGTCGCAAACCGCTATCGATAGCGTCGATCGAGAACAAAACAAAGAAAAACAAAAGAAGAACGAAGAAGACAAGTAGTGTAGAAATGTAGAAGATATGGAAAAAGTAAAGGAAAAACAAGAAAAAAGATGACGACGAAGGGTGCAGGTACCAGACTTTGCCACTAAAATAGTAACCAAGAAGGACACTACCTGGAGTAGGGTCAGGCCACCTGATGCCTCTTTACTGTATCGCCCTCCGGCACCCGACCTATATAGGCCGAGCGCCGTCGTCGGCCTCGGATATTAAATGGGTAATTAATAATTAATAATTGCAATTAAAATTGCAACTTGATATTAGACGCAAATTAGCTTAGAAACTTGTGCGCACCACGTGTGTATATGTGTGTACACGTAGGGTACACGTATTGAACACGTGTGGTATCATCCAAAACGTCCGCGGATGTTTTCGATACTGCTTCTTATAGTACACTTGTCAACTTATAATTCATCCAAAATGTCCGTGGACGTTTTGGATACCGTCTCTTACAGTACACGTGTTTGCCATGTCTAGTCGCGCACTCCAGCGCGCCGGTGCAAATCCAAGAAATTGGTGGAAATAAAAATACGACGTTGCACCACGCACAGTACACGCGCGATCCACGTGTCAAAGGCGGGAGCGCGGCCCCGCGACGGCGGTGAGCAGGCGTACAATACGCAGGGTCACTGCACTACACACTATTTTTTTGGTGTCCTGTTCTGTTCTCTTATAAACACAGGAAAATATGCTCCACTTGAAGGTACATCGACCTTCGGCGGGAGATTTGCCACGTGTGACACCTGTCTTCATACGGACCATTGCGGTCTACTCTTAAAGTGTGGAAAATATCACGGCATGACAACGCAGTGAATCAGCCCATTGCTACGCTTCAGTCAGTCCGGCCAACATAGTGCAAGTCCTCACTTTGCAAATGGTCGAACGAAAAGTCAAGGGTCTTCTTTTAATTCCAACGGTCATGAAGCGACCGACGGGGGTAGACAAGGTTTGAGAAGATGAAGAAGAGAGAAGGATGGAGTACGCGGAGGGGAGGCAGAACACTATCAAATTATCACCAATAAAGTTGTTTTGTTTGCAACTTGGTTCTCCTCGCCAGTGCGAGGAGCTCAGACGTTCTACGCAGCGCCGCTCCTAAGAGCAATCCCGCAAAGGGATCTGGCGCAATCAACAATTTTATCGACATAAAGGATCACTGTCCCGGGGTTAGTCCCCGGACAGTACAGTACCTCCTGTAAATTTGTGATATTCCTCTGAAAAGGTTCACAATTGTAAGAGTTTCAATCATGCAGTCCCAACATGGGACCTCGTGAAATGCAGGGAAGAATACATTACATACATGCTAGAGAACTCCTTCCTTAACGTTGAGACCCTGAAGATTGTGAACCATTACGCAACTCCTGAGAAGTGTTTTCGGGAGAGAGGAGTATACCGTGTTTTTACTTAAACAACAGTGCTGAGTTACCGGAGAGCTGGGGAATTTCTGTTACTAGGCCACATTAAAACAAACGCAGATTCACTTTGGCGCAGTTTCACTCGTAATCAAACCAAGAAGCTCGTCTTGATCAAGATATGTCAACAACGTAGAGGACATGACAGTCTATAATTGTAGATATATATCGTTGGAAACAATGAAAAACACACCAACATTTATTTGCAGGCTAGCGTCAGCCTCACAGTCGCAGGGGTTGTGCCATTACCACAACCTGCAACTTCAAGTATGTCCAACCTGAGAACCACTTTGTAACTAAGACTAAACAAAAGTATGTCACTCTGTTTGTTTTTCTAACACTGCGCAGCTCAAAGAGTGCAGCTAGAGCTAATTCAGAAGTACGTCTCCAATCCATAAGAGATATCACCATCGTTAGGACTATGTCCTTGTGAGTCCTACGTTTACGAACACGTCGCTGATTTTTAAAGGTTAGCATTCGGCTCCTACGGAATGAAACGATTGTACATGTAGGACACGAATTCTTCTACTTTCAAAAAATCATTTGGGATAGGAATGAATAACACTAAAATGGAAACATTCGACAGATAGTGTTCCACAGTCTTGGGTCGAGACGTTTGTTTTTGAAGAAATTTCTCCACTACAGAACTCAGAATAAATCTGGGTTCCTGGGGCTCGTTCAAACGGACAAAACATTTTGTTAATTGCTTTGACCTTTTGAACATTTCTTCTTTGCATGAACTTCTGAAGTACTCCGGAGGGTATTACTCCCTGGATTGATTTCTCGTGATTTCTTTTGAAATTCATGTTCAGACGTTGTAATCCTGGCGAGAATGGATGTGACTATTTTCTGATGGACTTCATTTCGGAGATTACGACTCTCGCCATAATGTACTTGCAAGACAGATGGGTTTCCCGTTTATAGCCAAGAGAGAAGAAGAAATTGCGATTCTATCAAGTTTTCATCCAAATAGGGTATGAGTTCAATTGAGAGGATATCGTCCATGACATAGTTGCATGCGAACTTCACCGTGAAAGCTACAGCATGGATGTAGGTTTTCGAAAAGAAAGTATTGGGGCGGGGTCACTGCAATCATTTTTAACTTGGGTGAGGGAGAGTGGTCCTTTCATTATTTGTCTCAAGGTGATTTCTCCTGTGGAAGACTGAAATACAGTCGTTGATTATGTGTATCAGATCTTGATGCATTCCAAAAAAAAAAAAAAAAAAAAATCCCGATTTGTAAGTGCACAAATCATTTGGCAATTAGCTTACAAATAAAATAGCTACGAATGATTTTTTGTTCGAGATTCTTACTCACGGCAGAGAGTGTGTTCTTCGGCGTGCCAACATTTGTGTACTTTCTTTGATGGGTAGTGTTTAAAATCGTAGCTATAAAGCCAGCAAGTACTTCAACGTTCACCCACATCTCCAGGAAAAAGTGCATATTATACAAAAAAGGATTTCTGCATATCCCTACCTCGTATCAGGATTTACAAGGTAACACCGATCTTCAAGCTTCCCGAAGGTGAATATCGGAACGACAGGCAGTTCCCACTTATTGATTTGTAAATCCGTGAAGATGAATGTTTCTGTCCTCACGCACTTCGTGATGTGGGTGGCTATAGCCGCCGTCGGCTTTGCAGAAAATGGATCAGCAAAATCGGATGAAGATGTGGGCCTCAAGATGGCTCTACTTGTATGCCTCACAATATTTGTTCAAGTTCTCCTGGCATTTCTTGCTCATTTCGCTGCCAGGAGGGCTTCGAATCGACATGGCTCGAAGGCTTTAAACGGGAATGTTGGGGTTGTACCTAAAACACATTTTGGCGATCGAAGAGAAACGCAAGATCAACTTGATGCTTGGAAAGAAGCCTCATGTCTTCGAGGCAGGAGCTCTCGCTATCCGGGAACGGTATACTTTAATCAAAAAAAGCGTGCAGGTAGTTGTGAGGAGCTGGAGAGTCGAAAAAGCTGTGACACAACTTCTCTCCAGTTTGGGTCCTCTAGCGGCATGCTCCCCAGGATGCATTCTGTGGATGCAATTATCAGAAGGACCGGGAGAGTTGAAAACGGCGAAAGTTTGTTGTGCAGGCCGAATGGGATCGATGTTTCTTCGTCTACAACACTTTCGTCAAGTGTTGACGAGAAGAATTGCAAGGGAAAGTGTGTACAGACACAACCTTCTTTCAATATATGGTCTCTTGGAAGCCAGAGCATCTCCAGAAAATGTGCAAGCTGTCGGAGCGGTGGCTCTAGTCAATTTGATAGAATGAATTGTGAGAACGGGGGGCCTTCAGCAATTAGCTGGGGCTCATCCCTGGATAAACAGACACGACCGAAAAGTGAAGATATAGCTCCTTGTCGGCGATCGCAAACTTCCAGTACAATGCCTTTGGTGATCAGCAATGGGTCTGAGGTTTGTGTCGAACTAGAAGAGATTGACATTAACCTTGACGAAAGAAGACACATGGCATCTTTTCAAAGTACTGAAACCTTCAAAGGGTGGGTTTCAAGCATTTTGAAAGGCTTTCATAGGTCTATTACGTCTCGAGGCATCGAGAAACAGAGTCAAGAGACATCAAGGGCTTAACGCGCACAGATCAGAGCATGATAAGCGACTAGTCGAAACTACGCTATCCATGCGAATCTATGAAGGAAATCTACATGAATATGGGAAGAGCTGTGCTAGCAGTACACATTGCATTCACCCTCCACACAGACCCTTAGCAAAAAGTTGGAAACTAACTCTCACCCTAAGACGTTAACTTGGTCAGAAGATTCATATCAAATCAGTCCTTCCATGCCCGGCTACGTCAGTGCGTGGGGCATTCTCAAGGACAAGTTTAGCGTATACGCTCGATAGTGTAATGGTCAAAACTACCTTACGCTCTGCGCATCTCCCTCATTTTTCGTCCATCGTTTGTCATCAGACGTGCTTTTAGCGTGGAAAAGAGAGTACGGCCTTTGAAGACGGTCACGTTCGGATTGCTCTGGCAAGTAAGGTTCATGGGCCCAGGTACCTTCGTGGCTGGGGTCAACACTTCATTCCTTGAGCTCTGCTGCCTGAACGTTCAACGCCATCAAAGATAAAATTCAAAAAATTAGTTGGTAATAAATGTAATTGAACTTTCTCACTTGTGCTGAATAACTACATATCGTACAGACCACAAAACCCCAGTTTTGGAAAGCCGCAACGAACCGGATCTCGACACCACTTGTCGCGAACCTACCGCTCTTGGCCGCCCGCGTCACCGACGTCACCCCGATCTCCCGACGTCCTTCCCCCTCTGTCCCTGTCGTCTTCCTTACCTTCCATCATGAACGCCTTCGTTGCCCCCTTCTCCGCCGCTACCGCGCCCGTGACTCGCCCGCGCGCTCTGTGCGCGCAAGCGCGCCCCGCGGCGCCCTTCTTCTCCAGCGCGGCTTTCGGTGCCTCGGTGCCCGCGCGAGTTGCAGCGCCCCCCGCACGCGCGCCGATGCGCATGGATGTCACCGTCATTGTCGGTGATAATGAGCCTGTTGAGAGCGGTACGTGAACAGCTGATTTTTACCGACAGTGCCTGCGGGGGAGAGGATTGCCAGAGTCTGACTGTTTTGTTGTTCGTGTGACAACGCGCCTGCCGTTTGATAGCGATTCGCCGTTTCAAGAAGGACGTCAGCAAGTCTGGACATTTGTTTGAGCTGCGGAGACGTCGATATTTCGAGACGAACACTGAGAAGCGTATTCGCAAGGCTGCTGCCGCTCGTCGTAAAGCGAAGATTGCTCGTCGCACTGCGCGTCACGAAAGAAGTTTCTGAACATGGCGGCGGCTTCTACAGACTTCTCGCAGTTTGTCCTCCACTCAGCGTGCAGTGTTTTGCGAAAGGTGCAAAGATGTCTGTGCGCATTGACGGCCATGGTGTTTTATTATCGTCATGGTTTAGTTTTGGGGCGTTGGCACGCAGCGTGTGCTCAACAACTTTACAGCTGACTGTGTAAAAAGCCTTTATCGGTTCGGAGTATCACCCCTACCCTCTAGTGTTGCGATGCCCTTTATTGCTTCTCTCGGCTTGTCTCTTCCTCAGCCTCATCAGTGAGGGCCTCCTCATCTCCTGGTCCCTCTTGTGCTGGACCTGCGTGGTGGTCATCTATGGAGTGGGTATCCTGCCCACTGCCATTCGCGTCCTGTAGTCTTCTGACAGTCCCCAGATCGAAGCGACCGGTGAGCGTCTGGAACTCAAACCCGGCCTCTTCACCTTGCTGCTGTAGCTGCACGGCCTCGTTCATGAAGTTGCCTCTAACCAAATGTCTCAAAACCATTTGATAAGTTTGCAACAGTATGGAATCGCCTTGTGAGTGTGCCTTTGTCAGTAGCTTCAACACGTCCTCCGATTGACCGGCACGCAGCATTAAGCGAGTCGCCAAGTGGAGAGTGTGGCCGGCCACAGAGAGTCCGACACTCTCGATTTCCTGCAGAACGCGCATGCCTCCTGACAGTCTTCTCGTCTGCACGCATCCCTCCAAAAGTGCATTGTACGTGTCGATATTTCTCTCCAACCCAAACCTCGTCTCCACTTCATCAAAGGTTTGAAAGGCTCTGTCCAGGTCGAGTGAGGCAGAGCATGCACCAATGATGCAGTTTATTTCTTCGATTCCGACCGTAGATGGGCTGAACTGCGCAGAAATGGATGTCGCTGATTGCAAGCCGCTCGTACTCAAAATCGCGTCTGCGAGCGAAACGCTCGGTGATTCTGGTGAGGGCATCGCCACTTCGGAACCCTCTTGCGAAGTGACGGGGTCTTCTTGCTGTCCTGAATCTTCTGTGAACTCGGTGCCGTCGGTCGCGGTACGATCTTGTTCATCTAGGGTCACAGTGCTTGTGTCATCAAGTGCTGCACTTTCTTCATCGACTTCTTGCTCTGCTTCAGCAGCAGCCTCAGCGGCCGCCGGTTTTGACGAGTGAGAGTCGGTTTCCTTTCCTTCCTTCCTGTCGCATAGCCTGTAAAACTGCTCGTCAATAATGGAAACATTGTAGGCCAACGGCCTCACGAGAGCCATCTCCAGGTCCCTCATTGACGGCTTCATGCCCTTCTCCCGCATGGCACCCACAATGTCAATAGCCTGAGAGAAATCACCGGCGCCAGCGTAGGCACCAATCAAACAATAATAAAAAGGAAGGGGAATCTCAAACTCGGGATAGTGCTCCTCCAGGAGGATCCATGCACGTGATGCAATATCTACGCGTCCCCCTCGGAATGCGCAGTGCAAGACTTCGGAAATTGCGCCAATCTCCGGTTTGGGCTCCCCACGCAAGGCGCTGCGGTCGCTCTTTGAGGTGCGGCCAGCATCCTTCATCTGATACAGACCACGGAATTCTGCGATGCGGTGAAGTTCGTTTCCATACCGCGGCAGAGACTCTTCAAATTTGATGAGCAACTGGTCGACGTGATCATAGTCATCATTACCAGCGGACGCGACCAAGACTTGAGCCACGGTCATGGCACTGATGTCAAAGCGTTGCTTTTCAACGGCCATGAGCGTTTGGAATGCGCGGCGCGGATCACGACGACGGAGGCAGCCTGTGATGAGAGCATGGTAAGTGGCGAAGGTTGGATATATGAGATGCTTCTTCATATCATTGAGGACCTCGAAGGCGCTATCCACATTGCCCGCATAGATATGAGCTCCGATGAGGTAGTTATAACTGGTAGCGTTCGGTCTACTCTCTGGCGGCATGTTCCACATCCTCGCTAAGGCCTCTTCAATCTCGCGCGTCATACCCGCGCGCGCCATTGCGTGCAAGCCGCAGTTCATCAAGCCGACACCCAGGGAATATCCGCGTTCAATGGCCAAGTCAATCGTGTCCGCCGACGTAGCCGACCAAGAGTTCCTCCCCAACACCGGGAGCATAACCCTCATAACCTCCGCGTCCAGGGACGGAACGCCGTCCGTCTTGAACGACGCACCATAGTGATACAAGGCCGATCGGGTAGCGTTCCTCGCCAGCAAGTCCTTCATCTGCTTGAGCATTTCCGGGGGGGTCTTGACCCAGGCGAGCGAGGGCGCGCCACTTTCGGGGGCGTGCTCCCCGTGCTCCTCCTTCTGGCGGGCGTCGGAGGGCAGCGGCGGGCCCATCTGGGCGGCCGAGAGCGGGGCCGCCGTCTCCGCGGCCGGAATCTCCGAGTCCGTGGTGAGCACCTGCACGGCCGGCTGCGTCGCGAGGGCCGCCTCCGGCAGGCCCACGGCTACGGCCACGGGCACGGGCACGTCCGCGTCCTTGTGGTCGACGTCCGCCTCCGACTTTCGCTTCGCCTCGGCCGACAGCACGGTCGTCGAGCAGAGGTCGCGCGTCGCGTAGAGCGCGCGCGGGTGGACGTGCGCGGCGCCGCGCCCCCCGGAGGCCACGACGGCG